TGGAGTGATTCTACCGAACAATCAGGGGAATGCTGCATATACATATACAATCTAGCCAAACACACAGAAACATACATAATATAAAAGACATCCTTACTGTAATCTGCTACACAGTCTTAAAGGAATATTGTTCCTAAAAAGTCATATGTCCACGGATGGCTCTTAAAGGGCCAGTAGCAGCAATATAAAATACCACATGCCCAAATATTGCTTTCCAAAGTACAAATTCACAAGGGGCCATAGTCAGCAGGTAGGAGGCGGACAGCCAGGCTTCTCCAGTTCACAGTGGCGAGGTTGGTTTCGCAAGTATAGAACCAGGAGAATGGTCTCTGAACAGGGAAGTCTACCTGCAGGTAGTGAAGAATTAGGGAACTCCACAAATAGATTTGATGACCACGTCGAGGAACTTACAAACATCCAGATGCTTCTCGAGATGGAAAGACAACCAAGCCAAAGCCCAGTATGCCCTATCCCAAAGGGGCGAGTTTGAGTTGGCATACATTTTTCCACCGATACCACTGATCAGCAAAGTACTGAGGATGATTTGGAAGGAGAATTGCACGGTAATTGCACTCATCCCATTATGGCCAAGGAGACCTTGGTGTCCGCTCCTGTTACAGATGAGCCAAAGAGACCCAATAATACTCCCACTGAGATGGGGCTTGCTCATCTAGGGTCCAGCAGTGTTTCCAGAACCCCAGTCACTTCAGTTAGCGGCATGGTTCTTGAGAAAAACAACGTCTTGAAATCTGGCCTGTCAGTGTCTGTCTCTAATACACTGCTAAAATCCAGGAAATGCTTTACGTCAGCTTCCTATCATAAAATATTGGAAAAATACAGCTCCTGGACATTGGATAAGGGAATCACTTGTGATGCACCTAGCATGGCAGACATATTGCATTTCCTTCCAGAGGGCCTGGAGAAAGGACTTAGCCTAAGCACTCTAAAAGTAAAAGTTTCGGCAATTTCAGCCATGACAAATACCAGATGGCCTCTAAATCCTCTCATAATGAGGTTTTTCAGAGCAGTTTTGAGGATAAGACCACCTACTAGTTGGCACCTCCTTGGGACTTGCCTCTAGTACTTAATGCTCCAATTAAAGTACAATTTGAGCCACTAGAAGAAATAGGCATTTATTTACTCATCATGAAAACACTATT